CGTGGGGGCGTATTGAGCCAAACTAATGCAGGCATTTTGGCAGAAGCGAGGCATCGGTGCGGAGACCTATTATCTCGCTGTGTTGCAGCACTGGGCCGGGGCATGCAGTCGCCTTTAGGGTGAGCTGACTGTACTCAGGGCTGGCTAACTGCCTGCCCGGGGTTGGCAGATTGGGCCGGGAGGTGATGCCTGGCTTCTGAGGGCCCTGGGGAAGCCTGCCAGGAGGGTGAGGTGACCTCTGGCCACTGGGTCCAGCCTCCATGCCATTGGGTGCACGCTTCTCACACAGGCCGACTCCCCACAGTCACACGAACAAGGCCATGGGGCACAGTCACGGGTGGCAGATGCAGGCAGAGCCCTCCTCGGGGCAGAAGGGTGGGGCTTCTCCCACCCGGCCAGTAAGGGGCTGAGCTCTGGCAGCCAAGCATCAAAGCATCGTCCACCAAGCACCAAGCTCGCCCTTTCTCCAAGCAGTGCACTCCGGGAAGCCTGGGCCCATTACCCCTCCCTCTGATCGCAGCCTCTCCTCGCTGCGACACACCCTAGGCTGGGGTCTCTCTCCCAGAGAAAAGGTTGAGATCAAACAGCGTTGGTGAGAGGTTCGGGCACATCCTTGAGGTCATGTGCAGACGATGAAGCAACTTGGTTATGTGGGGCTCAGATGACCCGAGGTTGCCACACCTGCAGCTGGAGACTCCATGGCCCAGGAAGCCGGGTGGCTTCCCAGGGCATGGCAGGAGGCTGGGTGGGCCCGACGGCTGTACACGCTTCAGAAGCTTGGGAAACTTTGAGAGGGAACAGTGGCCGGGGAAGGCCTTTTCTTTTCCCCAGGTGTCCATCTCTTGGCCCTTTGGTTCAGGTCAAGCAAGGCATGCTGCTCATGTCTGGGTGACCCCAGTGTGAGAGCAGCAGGAAGACACTGTCACCATCGGTGTCGTTTGCAGCTCCATGCAGCAACCAGTAACTTTGGATGCTTCAGCCTCGCTGAAAATTTGCAAGCAAGCCCTGTGTTGATCAGAGATTTCAATCCTTCCAATTTGCTCTTGGCTCAATATGGAAAAAACATGTCAATCCTCACTATGTAAGCAGTCCCTGTCTTCTAAGATTAATTTGGCCGATTGGTTTTTTTTTTAATGGAGGTTCTCATGACAAATACATGCCATCCTAGAGGGCGGGGTGTTCAGCTTTGGACAGTTTAGGTTTTATAAACATCATCTTGGTAGGAAATGGGCTTCCTGTGCTTTTGAAGGCTGGCCACCGTGCACTGGTGAACTTTAATTTACTTCAGGATCAATTAAGTTCAGTGAAGGATCAATTATTTGTTGCTGTGGCTGATTCTATTTTTCAATCTTTCACCTTGCTGTGTAGAACTCATTGGCCTGTACTGGGTAGTGAGTTTCATCAGGAAATCTGTCCACATGATCTTGTTTCTTGCCAACTCTCCATCCTGCCGCATTCCAGCTAGCGAAGTTCAATTTCATTCCTTGAGAGTTGCGACCCGGAGAATTTAGGTCCAGGCAGCACTGAACCTGTGACCTCCGATGATCCCTCCTTTCACGATCCCATTTGCACGACTCCTCATAATTCCTGCAATGTGTACGGGCCTTTGCGTTGTCTCTGGCTCTCCTCCAGACATTCTGACGTGGGGGGAGGGGGTGCCCCCCACCCGGTGGGCACAGGAGCTTGGTTTTGGAGAAGAGGGAATGGAGGCTGCTCAGTGATGCTAACTGACTTGCCCAAGGTCACGCATGAGGCTGGGAATGGGACTGCTTCTCCCCGGGTTTCCTGCCGGGCCCTGTGCTCCATGGTTTGCCTAAAGCTGCCCCTTAGAGGATGACTGTCAGCAGCAGATGGCAGTTTTGGGGTGGGACTGGCTGTGTCTTGATTGAGTCCCATTGTTTACCCTCTTACTTTTGTCCCGTTGCCTTTGTGGAGAGCCTGGGAAAAACATCGACCAATCGCTGAAAATAATGTGTGATGCTGATTCCCTTCCTCCCCGGAGAGAGGGGTGTGTGTGTTCATTTGGCCAATTTTGGTGCCGAGGCCCCACCCACTCACACAGATTTGGGGCTCTGTGAATCTGGTCAGGGGAACCTTTGGTTGTTCACAAAGGGTGCTGAGGGCTTTGCAGACTCGTTCCCTTTTATTTCTGATTGAGAAATTGGACCCAACAAAGAGGAATGCTTTTAAAACAATACTTTTTGTTCGTATTGTAAGAATTTCTAGACGTGTGCTTTCCCTTGAATCCTTTTGATTGTGAGCTTAGAATTATATACCAGATCTTGTACATCTCCACTGAGGGCGAATTCACCATCTCCCCAGCCCACCTGGGGACAGCCTTGACTCAACAGGTCTCCACCCCACCCCAGTGGTGCTGTGGCTCCGCTCACCTGCTAACTGAAATTTGGCTCTGTGGTTTGGACTCGCCAGCCTTTCCTCAGCCCAGGCAGTGGGCTCTCAGAAAGATGATGGCTCAGGAAATCATGCGAGACAGGCCCTCTCTGTCATGAGTCAGAGTTGATTGATGCGCATAGCACCTACGCCCAACTCTTAGTCTGATCATTTCGGCCTTAGAAGCAGAACAGACAGACGGCGCTTCGGGTGTTTGGAGACTGATGATGGCTCCTGGCCTAAAAGGTCCTCATTTCCTCATGCAAGATGGTTCCCAACCACTGGCCACCTTCACTTTCCATTGTCTCCATTTAGCCCTGGTCTGGCAGATCGCAGAGATAGTGAAGCTCATCTAGCAACCACCTCAGTGAGGGCATTACGACAGGGATGCTGGGCCAGAGCGCACATGCCCATCACGAAAGATAGCCACTACTTGAATTCAGCCAGTTACTTCCATGTGGGAATGTTGGTCCAGCTGGGTTTTTCCATTTTTTAACAGATGCCAGAAAGAGTTTTTTTTTTCTCCCCCAAGTCAAAGTCCTGGCCTGGTGGTCATTTCCTTCCTTGTCAGTAGCCACGGGTGATCCTTGTTTCCTCGGTTTACCAAGGATTCTCACGTGGCGTCTGTTTTCCTCTGTGTGTCTGCCTCTGTGTCTATTGTCTGTGTTTGTTTTAAAAAAATTCTTATTGTGAAGTGGTTGGACGTGTACAGGGTAAATCTGTTTCCCATTCTTGGATTCTTAAAAAAAAAAATCATTTTATTGGGGGCTCATACAACTCTTATCACAATGCAGCCATCCATCCATTGTGTCAAGCACATTTATACATTTGTTGCCATCATCATTCTCAAAACATTTTCTTTCTACTTGAACCCTTGGTATCAGCTCCTCAATTTTTTCCCCTCCTTCCCCCACACTCCCTCCCTCATGAACCCTTGAAAATTTATAAATTATTATTATTTTTTCATGTCTTACACTGACCAATGTCTCCCTTCACCCATTTTTCTGTTGACCATTCCCCCTGGGAGGGGGTTACAAGTAGATCATTGTGATCGGTTCCCCCTATCTCCTCCCATCTCCCCCTTACCCACCAAGTATGGCTACTCTCAATATTGGTCCTTAGGGTTTTATCTGTCCTGGATGCCCTGTTTTTCCAGCTCTTATCTGTACCCATGTACAAGCTCTGGTCTAGCCAGAGCATTCTTAGCCTCCAGAATGATGAGAAAATAAAAATCATTGTTTAAAATAATACAAAAAGGGGTGAGGGATTGCAATCAATTACACGAAACAAAATGTGTATGAATTGTTGAATGGAAAACTGATCTAGTCTATCTGTAAGCCTTCATCCAATTCACAATAAAAAGTAAAAAAAAGCCTTTGTCAAATTAATCTTTAAAAGATTGCATATGTAACAGTGCTCTTGAAGAACCGTATAAGTTCTAAGTGTAATTTTCTAGCTATTGTCAAAGGGAAAAAACCCTATCACCTCCTTCTTGCTGTATCTAATGCTATCATTAATATAACCCAAGGGTTGGTGAAGCTCTTCTCATTGCCCACTCCTGCATTGCCCTGTATACTTTTTTGTGTCTACTATTTCTCTTTAACCTTCTAGGCCATGGACCTTGTCAGGTGCAAGAACTGAGATGAATTTACATGACTTGTCCTTGGAGACCCCCATGCTGGCGCCGAGGGGCATTGCTTCCTCTCCCAGGTTGCCATAGGGGCCGTAATGAATCTGTTCGAGATCGTTGCCTGAGAGTGACCTCACATTCTTTAATCTGTAGCTGGCAAGCTATGACTTCTTCCTTGTTTTGAAAAGAAGAACAGCATTTGCCTGTCTTCAGCTTTTTGCTACCTATTCTATCATCCATGATTCCCTCAAAGATCACCGATTGTATATGGTGATCTTATTTGCAGGCCTTCTTAGTTTCCTGCCTCTAATTCATCTTGCTGTCAGACATAATGGCCTGTTGTGCATTCAGTCAGACTT